CTTGGCCACGAGGGCACACTGCTGCCTCATGGTCAACTTATCGTCCACCGTGACACCCAGGTCTTTCTCCGCAGAGCTGCTCTCCAGAAGGTCAGTCCCCAGCCTGTACTGGTGTGTGGGGTTATTTCTCCCCAGGTGCAGAATCTTGCACTTGGCCTTGTTGAATTGCATGAGGTTTTTCACTGCCCAGTTGTCCAGTCTGTCCAGGTCCCTCTGGATGGCAGCGCAGCCCTCAGGGGTATCAGCTACTCCTCCCAGTTTGGTATCATCAGCAAACTTGCTGAGGGAGCACTCTGTGCCTTCATCCAGGTCATTGATGAATAAATTGAACAGGACTGGACCAAGGACTGACCCCTGGGGGACACAGCTACTGACAGGTCTCCAACTAGACTCTGCACTGTTGATCACCACCCTCTGAGCTCTGCCATCCAGCCAGTTCCTAATCCACCTCACCGTGCACTCATCTATCCCATTCTTCTGGAGCTGGCCCAGGAGGATGTTGTGAGGGACGGTGTCAAAAGCCTTGGTGAAGTTGAGATAGACGACATCCACCGCTCTCCCCTCATCTATCCAGCTGGTCATTCCATCATAATAGGGATGTATCTAATACCATTGTGGAAAGATTAATTATTGGTTGGTACTTTTGTCTTGGGGTTTGGATTGTAACTAGATAATGTGATCAGAAAAATAATTTAATCATTCAGCACCATGCAGTTTCTGTAAAAGTCAGTATCCCAGGATATACACCAGAAATGCATAAAAGAAAGAGCAAGCTGCTATTCCTGTGTGCAGACCATTTTCCACTGTAGCCGTTTGAATACTCCTGGTTTGTTTGGTATCCCAAAATCCATCAGCTAGCTGTCTGCTGGATGCAAAGAGATTGCCCTGCATGTCATGCGCTGGGCAAATCACATGTAGCAAAACACAGTTTCGTCCTGAGAGCATGTAAAACCACAGCCTGCTGCCCATAAATGTATAAATGCTTTCCATGTATTGCTTGTTTCTTATTCCCATGATTAAGAAGGGTCTTGCAGGCAAGCAGGAAATAGAACAGGGCTGGACATGAGACCCTGGCCTCTATCGCAGGGGCTACCTGTTCTTTTTCTGCTATAATTTCATAAAATGCTGTTATCAGTTTTGCAGTAAGACATGTTAGGGTAATTCTGTATGCTTCTCAGAATATACTGCTACTACTTAGTGATGAAGACTGCTTGGAAACTCAAGATGGTATATTTTGCATTTTTTTACAGGCATTAGAAAGCGAATTTGTCTCCTGCCAGCTGCACCAATGGATTGATCTGATTTTTGGCTACAAACAGCAAGGGCCAGAGGCTGTTAGATCCCTGAATGTTTTCTACTATTTGACTTATGAAGGAGCTGTAAATTTAAGTTCAATAACAGATCCTGTATTAAGAGAGGTAAGTTTGTGTTTAAATAGTGTGCTGTTGAAAATCTAAAGAGTCTGTATTGTTTAAGGCAACCAGTGAATGTTCAAAACTTTGCTTTCTTTTGTGGTTTGACTAAAGGCCATTCAAATACAAGGTAGTTAGGTCACAGACAAGAAAACTGGAGAACAAGCATGCAAGTTGTCCTTAAACTTTTTGCACCTAGGTTTAGCACATGCTGGATGCCTATATAGAAACAGATGTTCAAAGACTGCTTTTGTTGCTAAGGGTAGTCATTTTACTCACTATTAGTGTCTCCTAATGGAAAAGGAAGCCTTGATTTGGCTGAATAACTTTGAAAGTATTTTCTAATCTCATGCTGCATAGGTAGAACACATCAAACATTGTAATTTTGTAGTGTTTAATATTTTTCTTTGGTTTGTAAGATATCCAGGTAATACTAACTTGTCCTGAATTTCTGTTCATATGCAAAAGCAAATAGCAAATCATTGGGAAGATCAAAAATCTTTTAGTCAAACTCAACACTGTTCAGACAAAAATCTCCCTGGAAAAAAAAATATCCCTGAGGATATTTTAGAAATATATATATCCCCTACCCTGCCTATATAGCTGTATTACAAAAATAAAAAAAAGGAGGTGGAGGAGGGGAGTGGTTAAGGGCGAGTTTTGGTAGCTGTCACTTCCTCTGTTCAGAGCAATTCACTGGAACCAATTATAAATGTAAGTGTATTAGTTATAGACTAAAAGTAACTGGTACTTAGTTATCAAATATTCTGAGTCACTGAGAACAAAGATATGAGTGTTTTAGATAACTATATCTAAAAGCATGGCTAGGTGTGGCTAAAAGCAGGGAATGTGTGTGTGAAATGGATGAAAGCAACAATGACGACACGTATATTTTTACAAACATTGTATGTGTACACAGGGCTGGATTTACTAACCAGAGTGATGGCTGAATGCCACATAGGCTGTAGTTTGCAGTAAACCTGCCGATTTCATGTTGATTCACTAAAGCTAATTAACAATGAGCCAAAATAGACGTGTTGCATTTAGCTACTTTTAATTGGAGCCTACAGGAGAGATACTGGAATGCTTGGCCTGTAAAAGTTGTCATCACCTGCATCTGAAACAGTTACTGGCCCAGGGTATTGGCTCTTACTGGCCACCCTGTCATTTTTTCATTTTTTTGATAATGTTTGTCCACTGTATGCTGACAAGGAAACAGCCCTTACACTCTTCAAGTGCTAGGTTTAAGTGTGAACTGAAAAAAAAGTCCAGGAATTGTGTATAATTAATTTTGGTTCTGTCTTCAGTGTTAATTTCAACATACTCTTAATGTGAATAGAGCTGTGACTGTATGTCTTTACACATCCTCTTACATTAAGATTTTCTTTTCATTTGTGATTCACCTACCATTATATAAATGCTACTATTTACCAAGGTATTGCTTTTTAAAATTCCACTGCTCCTATAAAAGACTGGCTTCTCAAATGGTTAATGTGTAGCAATAGAGAAAGCATAAAAATAGTCTCTCTGTAAATGATGAAACTAATATTTGGAAATAATACTAACCAAAATAACAGCCACCATATGTAGCATTTTTATATAATTTTTAAAAAACAGTTATATTATCATTAGAACTGTGACCTGTTTTACTTACGCAAAGTAAAAAACTTGAAAAAAGGTAATATAAGACTAAAGAAGTTAAAAGACATTCTTGAAGTGTGGGTTGTTTAAAAAGAGGCATTCGCTTTGAACTTCTATATGTATTTTTATATATATATATATTTTTACCAAACCTTTTGAGTTCATCATATCTTGTTATGTTTTATACTATAACATTTTGGGTTTGGGGTGGCTCTGTACATTTTTGAGATGAGTGACATAAAAACAAAAATGGGAGGGGGAGAAAAGCTGGTGCCATTGAATTTCTACCTAAGGAGCAGCTTATCAGCAGAAGAATTTTGAAACACTACTGATGTCAAGAATTGACAAATGCAGCGAGCAGAATGTATGTTTTCTGTAGCTTTTTGTGTGTGTGTGTGTAATTTGAGGATTGGTCCAATCTAATATTTTTATTTAGTATTTTTTCAGCCTTATTTTTAAGCAGGTCAAAAGGGTATTCTAGCAGTAAAAACATTTGAGCAAGGTATCCCTTCCGATTTACATTCATTTTGTAACAGCATATTTTTGCGTTCTGTACATGTGTATATGTAATTTAAAATGTTACACTTGATCAGCTCCTCTGTGTTATTGAGAACAGTTCAAAGAGATTTAATGAGTGTCATCACCAATGGTGAGTTATTCTGGTTTTACTCATGAGTAAAGATGAAAGTAATAAAAAATCTGGTTGTGTGTATATCTTTGTACATAATCCTTCAATATCTATGTGCTAAATGAATTTATCATGAACCTTTGACAGCCTCACCTTCTTCCTGCTTACTAATCCATCTCCCCGAGGACCTGCACTAGCATTCTGTACTGCTGAGCAGCTTCAATCAGCGTTTATTTTTCTCCTTAAGTCAGCTTGCCAGAAAATATTTCTTCATTTCTCTCCCAAAGTCCTGGTTAGAGGCCAAATGAGTTTCTGATCTGGGCAATTAATAGTATTTTTAGACAGGCATGACACCACAGATTTAATGTCTGTTTATGACGGAAGAATTAAACTGAGAATTTTATCCTAGATTTCTGGGTTGTGAGAAGGATGCTTTCACCTTTCGTTCCTCCTCTCAGTAGGGTACCAGGTTTGGGGATTTAAATCCTGTCAGCTGTAGTAGAAAATACAGTTTTATTTGGAAACCTCAGACAACCGGAAGCTTGTGTGTACTCTGAGTGCACATTACTAGGGCTTGTGCATCATATGAAAATAATAGCATGTGGTTAAGCCATGGTTCTCTCTCTGAGAGAACATCCATCGGCTGCAAAGCCGGGACCGTGTTTCTGTGGGGAGCCCATGGTGCCTGTGTTTCTGCTGGAGCTTCACGGAGACAGCGTGCAGGCGCTGGTGACCTCAGCCACCAGCCTAAGGAGAGGCCACACACAGAACAGGAGTGGAAGGAACTGAGGAGTGGAGGAGTTTAGGTTAATGCAGAATTTCCTTAGGTCTCCTAAACAGCTCCAACTGGCACCTTTATTTTTATAGGCAGTCAGGTTATATATATTACAAGAAGGAAACACTCGTCTAGGAAGGAAAACTGCTTGATTAAAACCATATCCTAGCTTACTCTTTTTTATTTTTTTTTTAAGCCGAAAATGTAGAACTTTTACATCCTTTCATACTGCTGTGAACAATCTTTTCCTGCCATTCTTTCTGCCTATGGGAATAAAGGAAGGAAAGTATTTTGAAAGGATCTGACTGCTGTAATAGAAAATCTTAAACTAAAATGCAAACCATGGGCCACATGCTACCTTTTGGCAGATAAGCCCTGGGGAGTGCAAAGCTTGCATAATTCAAAGGCAGATCTCAGGGGGAGGGGAGCAGATCAAGAGAGCAGGGCTTGAGCTGGAGCCGGCAGGGAAGGGAGCCCCATCCAGGGAAACGAGGCCAGAGAGCCAGTCCCTCCGCTGGCGTGTGCCCTGTGCACAGCTCAGCCCTGCCGAGACCGGCCCTTCATCCTCCTCTGTTTCCTTTTGGATACTTTAGTGGTGGTGTCAGTGGCTCTGATCTTTGAGCTTCCGTATCTTGTTGAAGGAGGTTACAACTGTGGAGGGAAGTTACCGTTCAGCTGAAGAGCAGTAAATATCCTTTCTCCTTCCTATGGAGAATGGGGATTGTGCTAGGGATGCTGTTTTGCAGCCTGCCGTTGGCTCCACCATAAGCAGCATGTTTTGAGCTAGAAAGTCCTGCAGCCAGCAGCTGCCCTAGGTGGCCTTCCTTGCTGTCCCCAGGGGAGAGGAAAGTAGGTGCAGTCAGCAGATAAGCATCCGCCAGCCCTCCCCCAACTGGAGGGTCACAAATTCTGCTCTCTTTTGGAAAGAAAAAAAAATAGAATTAGTTCTAAGCCATTGAGACAGTAATGGATTAGTAGGTGAAGCATGATCTGAAGAAAATAATTTGGATATTTAGACATAATTTGGCTGATATTTGGATACTGCATTATTGCGATAGTTACTTCTTGGTCAGAAGAACAGAAATTGCTATTTTCTCTGGCAATATAACAAAGGATGGTGATGAATCTAGGTCGTCCTAGTTATTTATTACAAGCCTACTACCCCACTGATATACCTGTGTGGCTAGAATAAATCCTGGCCTAAACTACAGGAAAGAGCATGAAGCTAGCAGTGAGAGGGCAAAATACTACTTAGAGAACAAGTCATCAGTCTGCTCCAAGAGCCCCCGAGCCCCAGGAAATCCACTAGATTTTTTAATATATTTATCAAAAAGCACTTTTTAATATTCCTTTTTTTTTTTTTTGTTTTTGTTTTTGTTTATATCATATGCTATGACCAGTGTAGTCTATAATTAAGGAAGAAAGGAAGAGCGATGATTTGAAAATTGGCAACAATTCTTGCAGTGGTTTGCAAAAAAAAAAAAAAGACAAAAAGTCCCATTGCTACATACTGTCATTGAGAAGTCCTTTACTTTTAGCCTAAAATGTTTCGGTTGTTAAGACTTCCTCTTCTGAAGACAAGGCACCATTTTGTTACACGAAAGTGGCCTGGTTAACATTAGGAAGCACAGCTTGCTCCGTTCTATCGTCACCTTTCTTTCTACTGTATTGTTGGTACTGTATTTCCATATGAACCAAGGAGTTTCAAAAATAAGAATGGTGAAGAATCAACTTGGACACAGCATTTGGTATGTTATTTGAATGTGTCACTACTGATTATACAAAGAGAGGAAATAATTCTTTCATTTTCTATCATAAGGCATATGGCATAAATTATTTCATGGATAATAGCTTTTAAATGTTGCCCCAGATTAATATCTTCGGGTAAGTTTTATGCATCTTAGACCTAGCTCTTATGGGTCTAATTTTATTTTTAAATATTTATAGTTTGAGAGACTTCTG